TGACTAAGGAACCAAATTCTGATAGCATAGAAACCTGATTAACAAGGTCCATTACAGATTAGATCCTATGCAAATTTTAACGCTGACTCTTTGAGTCGAAGGTATCTCACTGCAAGTTGCGCGGCAACCTGATGCGCTGAGTACAACTTGTAGTCGATTCCAAGTCCAAGTTATGGAGGGCACCAGCTGTGAGGCCACTAATGTTGAGCGTCCAGATTTTTGTGAGCTGTTGTAGAGGAAAGCACATACTGGATAAGAGTAGATGTGTAGCGGGGCTGCCGTAGCCCTTTGCACAGAGGAAGCTAAGCTAAGGTCACCGACCTTACGTTCTTTTAGAGAACCAGTACAAGGGTAGCGGATCACAATCCGCTACTTCTAAGTACTAAAGCCTTACTAAGGCAAACAAACACTTCTAATAAAAAAAGAAATTGTATTTAATTGTTTGTCCACCAATATCTAAAACCCTACGTATTCCAAATCAATTGCAAATTCGAATAATATAGCAAAACCTTATTAATATAGTAATATACATTACTATTGGCAGTCCTGCTTCTGCGAAATAGGAGAGCCACCTGGCCATCCTCTGCGAGAGGGCAGTGCGTAGTGACGCATGATAGTGTGGATCAAAAACGGCTTTGAGCCCAGCAAGCGCGCCCTGAACTTGACAATTGCATACTTCATCGCAAGTATTTTCTTGTCGAGATTTGGGTAGTTCCTCTGCGCAGCCTTTATCTGGCGGGACTCAAACGCGATCACCCGATCTCGCCACTAACTCCTGAAGGTTATCTGCGGTCGCTGAGAGGAAAAGCTCACGTAAAGCATCAATTGTTCTGGGTCGTGGCGATCGACGTCTCCAATAAAATTGCCTCCGCACTGCGTTGCTCACGGGCAAACAAACAGCTTTGTGCTCAGCCTCAATCGATACTCTTGTTTGCGTAAAAAAACTGTAGGGGCACTCAGATATTATTTTTGCAAGTTGGTAATAATCGTGGTATCATCTACTTACACAAACACAATTTAAATGCAGGAAATCCTTTAAGACCTTCTGCATTTTGTTCTGGAAGTGCATTGGTGAATCAGTAGCCCTTTGTGGCAATCAGAATGGCGTGTTATCGTATCGTTCACAACTAAGGTGAATATTTCACAGGATACTATATAGTATATTAACCTTTGAAGAGGTCGGACTTCGCGAAGTACACTGCGCCTTTAACCTTCCCAATCGGCGTCAAGCTGGGTGGCAGAGAACAGTGACATCCGATTATTTTGCGCTGTAGCTGTTTGATTCACACCGCGGTCCTGCAGAACCTAATTTCACGACAGATTTACTCATTCTCGAGGTAAGCTCGTCACGTCGGATGCGAAGAACTCTATTTAAACTAATGGATTCGGTGCTGGAGTGTATGAGAACACATGCACTCTTCGCCTATACCGACAGATGTATCTGCAACGCTGGTATGTGAGTTACTTTGGTGGGAGGATAGCCAAAGGTATATCCAGCAGAGACTAAGGCAATTCACTTCTATTCCAAATAAGTTTAAGAAAGTAGCTTTGCTTGCCATCTCCTTGATCACGTATGTTGTAAAATATTGCGGTATTTATTGGATCTCCACCGACTCCATAAAAAGGATGTCACATTGCGCTTGAATGTGCTAGAAGAATCAGATTAAAAGCCTGGGAGTTTATGTATGTTTGAACGGGATCAGCCTGTGGCAAAGTTTGGCTATGGCTTACGCAAGCAGATGCCAATTGGCATGGACGCGTGATCACGTGAGACGCTCGCCAGTTTAAAGCGGCCGTCAATTACCTCACTGGAAATGGCAAGGAACTAATTACATTGAAATCTTCTTTTGTTAAGTCATGAAAGCACTTGTTTGGATCTGAACTGTCTGTGTTTTATACAGATATGCGCTGTTGTGCAGTACGACATCGTCACAAAATAACTCACGGGAATGAAATTATATTTATTCGTTCGCCTCGTATATCGCATCCGTAATGTATATGGCGGGTAGTGCAGCAGCAAATGCACTCTCGTTTTGCTCCAACTATGATTTGCTGCAGGTCACATTTGTGATGTTACTAGTAAATAGTAGCATTAAAAATCGCAACATATGCTGCAGTGCTGACAACACTAAGAACCAAGGTGTTTGATACCTCACGTGATGCTTTATCAAAGCGCGTCGATGCAGGCCTGTACCGGTGTGCCGTATTCCAAGGCTTGCTGTTCACAGCTCTGATCTATATGAAACTCGGTATACAGTAGTTTCACACAATGATAACCTCATGTATCATATACGAGACGAGTGATATTCTTTTTGGTGACCATTTTGGAAGAGAAAGAGGTCCTGCCAGTAAAGAGCAACGTATTGGCAGCTCATCGTGTGCAAGTGGGTAAGAATATTATCGCGCACATCTGAAATGCGTGAGCGGATACAGTCGTGGCGACTGCTTTCACCAGCGTGACGGTTCCGGCAGAGGATTGGCAGCCCAACAATACTAATATTTTGGTCCTTTATAATTCGACATTGTGGTCCTTGTGGACTGTCTGAACAAAATGGCTCGTCTTGCTATTGCCAGCGATACTGATATTGTTGAGGATATAGATAAGCTTTAACAGACTGTTCCGCCGACATAATCTTCCAATAGCCATTGTATATCAAATGTGAACCATGCTACACTGCAAGGTCTAATGAGCATTTAGCAAAATGCTAGGCGCCAAATTGGTTACTCCAACCGCGCACCTTCCGGTCCTACTTAGAGCGTAAAGCGCGTCGTTGAGATATTTCTGAAGCCCGCAGTGCTTGGACAGATTGATTTGTCGTAAAAAACTGAGAACGCTGTCACAAGCTCTGTCAAAATTTCCTTAGCCATATGGATAAACCGCCGAGTGTGAAAGGAGCCGTTAATCGTAATCAACCTTTACCGATAGTATTTGTTGTGGGGCAACCGTGTTTTTATCACAACTGGTCTGTCTACGCAAGCGGTGTCTGCGGTCTATAAGACTTAGCTGGGACCGTGCAATCAGAACGCTCACAAGTCAGTTGTAGTCTCAAACAACTAGTTATAGTTATCATGAACACTACGTCAGAGATCGCCGGGCGGGCGGACGAAAAGAGGTTACGTGTCATTATCAGTCAAACAATGCGTTTACCTCAGCGGAATTATTCACAGCCAAAACGTTGATCGTACTTCAGTACCCACGGGTAACAACTAAGGCGCATTCGTAAAAATCAGTGCATTGTGACATTTAATTGCGTCAAGAGTTGAGCAAAGATGAATTATTTCGCCCATGAGATGATGAAGCTGCGTGTCAGTGCACGGAGTTGATTTATTGTACATTAGACACTTGCAGAACGACCTAAAAGCTTAACGCCCTAGGCTAGAGCTCGTTGTCTCTCACAGCTAAAGCGGCTTGTGAGCGATGGCACAAATTATAAGCAAGAAACTTAAACACAACCGGTGTTGTGGCTTTACTGACTGGCCAGCTGCACGGTTTGTTGAAAAGTTGACGCCAATGGTCGCTCAGCGGGCATTGATGTAAAGTCAGGCATCACCAAGTAGGCCTTACTTAGATCATAGGTACTGTGGATGGCGAAGTAGCAAACAGCAGAAGAAAGACCAACGATTAAATATGAGATATGCGTTACAGCTGTTCAAGACAAAAAATACCTAGGTCGCAAAAAAGACGTGGGAGCTTAAGCTCAGTCGCTATGACATCTACCAGCATGAATAATGACGACGTGGTTACGATGTTTTATCGTTGTGAAGTCCCATATATATAAATTTATCGACGGAAATAAACAAAAGGGTATCCCGTCAAAAAGTCTCTCCTCAAGATGGCACTTTACAAAAGTAGTGTTCACAAATTTGATGCAGAAAGCAGGTCTCGAGCCGATTTTGTATCTAATGCGTTTACGTCAGAAAATGGAGGAACTTAAAATTTATCTCTTTCTGCATAGGAGTCATGATGTTCTTTAAATCGATCAAGGCTGGGCCCGAGGCCAAAAGAAAATTCTTTGACTGATTTTAGTATTGAGAGATTGGTGAGCTGTCACCTATTCTGCCATTGGAAAGTGGTTAGACGTTGATCATTCACACAGCAGCAACGGAATGTGCAAATAAACACGCTAAGTTTGTGGTTGCATCTGTGTGAATATATGACACATTTATCATTATATTCCAAAGCGTTGTAGAAAAATCTTGTTGATATTCTATGCACTTCAGATGAGTACAATCAAATCAATGTAGCAAAAGCCCAGCTGATTTCTTATGCACTGTGAAGCCAAATTGCAAAGCAGTGTTAACCACGTTGCTTTCTGTCAAATTTGGCACTTTCTCACGATCAAACAATTCTGGGCTTTGTGTTGACTATCACACTCACATTGACGACTCATATTTGTACAAATAGAAGACCTGTCTCACTTTGCTTTATGACCAATCCCTGGCTCAAGTGGTTTGTAGCTTGGCCAGGGACCGGAAGGTTCCTAGTTCGATACCCCCACATCGGAGATAAGTCACTAAATTGGACGAGCAATCCCACCCCTGTGGTGTGACCGCTCAGCCAATCCGCACCCAATCAGGTGTGTGATATTAAGGCTGGAGGAGGTCCTGCTGACCGAAAATGCCCAGTTGGATACGGAACCCGGCCCCGATATGGGTCGGATAGCTACTAGTTTCCCGCGCGAGAGAAAGCTAAAACCTAGCGTGTGGGTTTCGGTTGCTTAAACTCTCACTTAGCTTTATGGCGTTCTTAAAAATTGGCTTCAGGAACAGTTCAAGCCACATGCAGAGGACACGACAGCCTGGCGTCTAACAGTTAGAACAAATACAGCATTCTACAGCAGATTTTTTGCTATAAATCTCAAACTATACTTCTGGACTTTTAATAAGAGGAAGTGGATCGCCGCGCCAACGAAGTGGGCGACCCCTGCGTGAGACGTGGACTCACGGCTATAAGCCGACGAAGACCAAGACGAAGACATGACGAAGATGTTGATGCCATCATGACTGATCCCAAACCGATGTACGAACCAGTGTTGTCGCTGAGTCTCACAAGATAATACCGATTATTCTTGATCCAGTGGCGCTTAACGCAAAAGGTATAGGGTGAAGATCCAGACTTGGTGATCAATCACGAACGAGGACTAAGCCAGCACGGTTCCATCTGTCAATTGCGACGTCTACTGGCGATTACTCGAGCTTCTCGCTCAATTTTGCGTTTCACTAACGTTTGTCTGATGATCGACCCAATGATCCTGGCTGAGTCTGAAAGGAGATGCAGTACGCTAGCTGGATGAGTCTCAAACTTATAGAAAGTGCTCAAGAAGACGTTAAAGACAAGTCTCAAGAATGAAGCCACGTACGCACGCGTTTTCACCTACTACCCTTTTCCTTGACGAGCTCATTAAAGAGAAAGGTTAAAGGGTGTAAAAGGGTCAGACGCAGCATGAAACACCTACAATGAACGTTTGGTATTACGTTACAAGTATCTGCGTGTAGACGTGCCGTTAAAGATTCTCCGTATCGACATTGAGTGACGTGCGTAGCTGCAGGCCGATATCATTCGATGACTATACCATGTACTAAGTGACGATCAAACCCAATCAAGGCCAAGTCTCTCTTGAAATGTAGTGGAGGAGCTAGAGTGCGTTGTACGCAACTAATAGAGTCGCTCAGCATGTGCGGTGTTTTCAAATCGCACACAAGGTCTAAAGAAGGAGGTGAACCTGCGGCCGATCAATAGATATTTTTCACATCAGCGGCTGAAGAATATAACCAACCATTGAGCGATAACCGCAGACCATAGCACGCTTATTGTAGAAATCGTCGAGTGCTGTTGCTTCAGCTGAGTCAAAGAGTGCACAGTTTACCAATGCCGTAACCGTTTCGTGACATAAGAAAGTCGACGTCGAGTGAAGTGATATACTGTCTTACCAAAAGAGCTGCGTGCTTCACACGATATAAGGTTTCAATGACGTCACAAGAATCCTGGTAAGAACCATTGCAGGTCACGCAATGTTTGGATCCTCGAATAAAGTCAATTTCAAAACATACTTCCTTTTTGAAGAATCTAAGCGCTTTATGCGTTATGCCTTTCTAACGTCCAGACTGATTCATAACAATATGACTAGCTCAGTTAATTTTCTCGAATCATCCGTACCAGTTTGGTCCCAACAACACTTCCGATTCTCTTGATATATTCCAGGAGGATGAATAATCGAGCTCTGAAGTGATCTTGCTGAATGTTATGAGGGGGGCCTTACCGTGCGACTATACCGTACCAAAGTTCACCAGTAGATAATCATTCTCGCCAATTTCACCTGCTCCACACGAGTTGGGTACTTCAAACGGTACTGCTGATTCTGCAGTACCATAAATCGTGGCATGTATGAGTTATTTGACTTAACTTCAGGCCCCGGCCCTTGAAACTCGGTATTCAACCTTGAAAATTTTTGTCAGGAGTCCGAACATTCAGGGACTTCCACTCCCCGGCGGGCCTGGAGCAGCGACAACAACTTGCAGCTGTTTCTTACCGTCCAACTAAAAAAGACCGCGAGTCAACTAATGTCTCATCATGAGGGCGTGACTTACTGCCGCTTCTGCCTTCTGATAATTGCTCCGGTAGCCTTGCAATACCGCAATACCGAAGCTATCAATCCCGGATAATCTTAAAACCTGAACAAAATTATTTGCATCTTCATGTGCGCGTCGACAAAGCTTTTATTTCATGACAGAGGTAAGGTCATGCTTGTCCAACGATCAACTAGGAGATAGGTGTGTGGCATCTAAGACTTAAACTTCAAAATGACATTGCTCGTGGCATTTCAACCGCACCGACCTTAAAACGAGATCGTTTCTAGAATCCCGTACAATCTTTAGGTTACGTTAGTTAGAATCGATACTTTTATTGTCAATTCTAACTAACGTAACCTAAAGATTTAATATAATATTGGACATTCTTACCAGTTTCTATGTCAAAAAGAGCACGGAGATTGTCCTGCAATAGCCTCCACGTGTTGTCTTCAATTTTTATCAACCAAGATTTGTATGAATTTTTTTTTTTAATCTATTAGGCACTTTCGCGGCCCTAAAAAACCGAGACATCAATTTCAGCATCTGTTAATTCAGAGCTGAAAGCTTAGCTTTTGGAATTGTTGAAAAGATCTGGGTATCATCGATATGATACAAAAGAGCGGAGTTGTTTCCCAATTAACCGATCTGCGCTTGTTAGATCCCTCGTTATACCGCAAGGAAGTGTCGGCCGCTCTTGCATGTAACCCGGTTTTTCGAATTTCTCAGCCGAACACTAAGGAACCTCACAAGGAGCGAATATTTGTACTCCCAGAGATGTGAAATTTGTGTGTCGCGGATATCCTTAACTAAGTAATCTCAAGCTTTCTTTTTTCTTTCTTGGCATAAATGAGTATATTGTCTAGGGTACGCTTGTAAGTTATTCATTTCCGGGTTTCTACCCTGCCCTTGCAGCACGGAATTTAAAATTCGCACTAAATGTGGTGCCAAACGCTTTCTCGAACAAAATAGGGTGATTGCGAAAGATTTTGTTGCGGTTTGTACTCACTCGAGGACCATCTACATCGAGGACAGCCGAAACTTTCTCTGGAAGTGGGTCTGACACCATCGCAGATACGATAGCTCGCAAAACCTGACGGTAATCTGCCCGTTCTCATTTCCCTTGACAGATGGGTAGAAATTTGAACGGATCGGTACGCCTGGTTAGGCGCTGCAATCATCCGTCACAAAATTTTTACCACAATTAGATTGTCTTTTTAACGAGGATTTACGGTGATTGCTATTCCCGTGTACGGACTTTGGACTTTACGACCGTGAAAGCAACGTGTACGGTACGCAAAAGCCTGGACACCCAGCATTACCGCGTCACGTTTAATACCATTTCTCTCCCACCTGCCCCAGATTGAGTTGGCCCTGGATGTGTCTCATCAAAGCATTCTCACAGCGGGTGTGCGCTTCCAAACGAGCAATCGCCACCTCCCGCTAATATGTCATCTCTTTCTTGATCGCATGTAAAGCTGATCAGTATGTATCGAAGGCTGGTGCTCAATCAATTTCTGTTCTATCTTCGCACAGGATACAGTCCGTTCACTATCTTACTGGGAAATTGAGTACAAAAGTTACTAAGTGCAACGACAATTCCGTCTGCTTTGCTTAAGAAATCAATTTCTTTAAGAGTTCGCGTCAACAAGTGCACAGAGGTTGGGCTTGACCAACATGCGGTGGAAGCGAGAGCATCAAAAGTATCTAGCTTCCTAGTTATCGTTGATATTTTTAAATACTTATTCTGCTTCTTGACTAATACTAAAAATGCACGTTACTATCAAAATAATTAAACTAGCTTTATTGTCTGACGTTTTGATCAATTCACGTGAAACACGGACCTCTGGTTTACAAAGATCTAACACATTTACAAATATTGATTTATCAAACGGTATAAATATTCAAAAACACGCCAAAGCGTAATGTGAATTTGATGCGATTGACCAGAACTGTATTTACTGCAATTGCATTTAATAAGTCACATGATTTTACAATACTTACCCTTTTGCGAGTTCAGCCACCCCCAACAATACTAGGTCATATTAACTTTAGTCATAAAACGAACAAATGTAAACCGCTTGGATGAGGTAACGACTCACAGTCGCAATTTTACCTGGTAACGAGAATGAAGTTTGGTACTGAAGTGCCCGGATTATCATGTTGCTTGTACCGCAAAGGTGTATTGACTTCTCGATCTCTTCTCCGCTACGTGCTGATATGACGCAAAAGACAACGTTGCATTAATCACGTTTTGAGTAGACGATTGGGTATATGAAGCAGCGTTTATGGTCAACGTATTACCACATGATTCGATACGACTATTTCTTCTTGATGACGACGATATATCGAAGTTAAAGTAAAGTGTACGTACCGGTACTGAGAAAGCACCACGAAAAATGTATCCATATTCTTCCCTGATGGTGAATTAATATAATTTCTGTGTAAATATTCCATGCAAAATTGGTGTACGTAGAATCCCGCTTAAATACGCCAATTGATCCGGAACGGTTTGTGCGCACTTAACTGGTAGGTGCGTACTTATACCTGTCATACTCTATTAGACCTCTTTCAGAGAGTATTATGGCTACCAGAGGCAGAGGGAAGCGTCTTAACGAGTTTCAGAGGTCTGGGATCATTGCTAAGTTGAGCAAATCAAACCCTCCGAGTAAACGAGGTTTGGCAAGAGAATATGGCGTCAGCGAAGGTGCAATCAGGAAGACCTGGGAGAACATGGAAACAATACAAAGTCGATGCAATTTAATGTCTAAGGAAGCCAGGACTCAAACGTATCGAGCATCTGTTGGTCGATTTTCGCAAGTCGAAGA